GAACAGGGCAGTGACTCCCATCTTTTAAGAGCTTTGTTGGATGGCATCCAATGTTCGGCCTTGTCTGGGCTGTAATTCTCTTTAAATCTTCTGAGGTTTCCCCATTACCAAGCACTTCCCTGGCCCTCTCCTGGCCTGATGATTAAACATCGAGAGGGATGTTATTTTCTTCCCCGCCACATACCTGTTATTTGGGTGGAGATTTCTTCTTAATTCTTCAACCCAAGAGAACAAGCTACCTACTTCCTTTTGACTCAAGGACTGAGATACACTTGAACATGGAGAGGAGTGGCCTTGCTGCAGAAAACCTTTCAAAGAGAAGACTGAGTGTAATTTAAATGTGTAATAGAGTTCTATCCCATTTGCCAAAAGCCATCCTAAAGAGGGCTGATACAGTCTGTTAAGTGCTGCTAATTATATAGTGGAAACACATACCCTTGCAGACATGAAGTCAGAGGGCTCCTGTCATCCCGGCCACCCAAACCAGTTCATCTGAGCAAAGTCACAGAGGAGCCACTGGAAAATACTATAGTCAGGTAATCAGGGTGTGTGGGATGGCTTCTTATCCTAGAAAGAAGGTGCCTGGCCCAGGAATACGAGGAACCAAGAAAATTCCAAAGTGCATATACATAAAAAGAAACAAAGTGGCCACCATTCAAGCCATGTCCCTGTTCATTCCAGAACCTCTTGGGCGTTCGTCTTTTCCACTCCTCCCTCTTCTCTACCACTCACCCCTGCACCCACCTTCCTCCATGGCTCACATCCCCACCGTGCCTCTGCTGTGTTCTCAAGGTCAAATGCTACACCCTCTCTGCCTACGGCAGTCCACCTTCATTACTCCTGCTGAGACCCTATGGCACTTCGTGCCCCAGCCTGTGCTTTCGATCTTCTGATTCCACACTGCTTTATAACCTGTACTGGCTACATCCATGACGGCATATCAAGACCCTCCCAAGCAGGTAGTGCCTTTCTCCCGGAGGACCCAGAGTGCTAGGCACAAAATCAGTGTTTTGAAAAGACAAGTTGACCCACCAATATATTTGATTTCGAAATGTGCATAAAATAACCCCATGTATCAGCAAGAGCAGCCATGGCTGAACCGTGAGACTCTCGCACCATCATCCGCGCTCAGCACCGTCTTCCTCGCACGTGAGTCGGGGGATGCGAATCACGGCTTTCTCATGCCCAAACAACTTCTGCGCCTGCCTCGTTCTCTGAAGACAGTAATTACTGACTCAGAGGTTTTTCCTTCGGAATGAGCACTACCATCCCCCAAGGATTGGAGCACCGAGGGGTGTTCGTCAGGATCCCTCGGCAGTACCCACAGCTTCAGCTGAGACCTGTCTGACCTGTAGTCCCCAGGCCCAAATGTAGGATAAAGAAGGTAAGAACTACTTGCTGTCTATCTGGCTTTTGGGGACAGGGTGACAACCACAGAGCTTATGGCCTCCCCCATCAGGCAGCCTACACGGCTGTGAAAGAAACTATCTCTGAAATTCACAGACACGCTTCTGCGCCCTTCAGGGACCACTTCGCCTGTACGAGCTAAAATGGGTTGGTCTCCAATCCTGTCTCTCTACACCGCTCCCACCCCAAATGCACATTTTAAGGCTTGCCAAAGCCTGTGATCACAAAAGAGAAGATGAGAGAAGCTCATCAGGATGGGATCCCGCGGAAGGCAAAAAAAAAAAAGTGGGGTTGGGGGAAGCATCCCAACATTTCGAGGAAAACAACTTAAAAATTAATGGGCTCTCAGGAAAGGAAGGCATCACGAGAAAATCAATCGGGCTAGGTTTTCTGAGCACCTGTCAGTTGATCAAAAATATTCACTGCCTGCCTGTTATGCATAAGCCACTGCTGGAAATGCTGGAATGGACACGAAGATGTAGCATATATAAAAAAAGAAACGTTTGGGGAAAACCGATTTTAGCCTCTGCTCTTACGGAGCTTTAACGTAAGAGGTACAATTGAATCTAAACCACTCTTCCTAAAGGCCCCCTGTACATGCATACTCACCGCCAAGTTTCCTTTCTTAGGTGCCCCTGACGGTGTCCCCCAGGACCCCCAGCTGGGTCTTGAAGAACGGATAAATTTGGAAGGCCAGAGAGCTTTCCAAGGCAGAAAGGAGCTCACGATTTAGTTAAATGTCAGGCACGTACAGGCCTACTTAGAATATGATGAAGGCTCTCTCACTGGTATAAACAAATTCTGAAGAGAGTGCTCACAAGGGGCACCAGAGTGAGGGAAGAAAGGGGAAAGGTCTGTGGTGGGGGTGGTATCTGAAGCAGGCTTTGCAGAACGACTAGGGTTACAGCCAGCCGTCAACAGAAGGATGTTCAAGGCTCTAAGGAAGAACGGAACAGGCAAGCACTGAAGTTCGAAAGAGCAGGTCCAGGGCGAGCATGTCTCTGTTAGGCCAATACTTTGAGAACCTTACAGACCCCGTTTTCCTTGTGGCTGTCTCCCCCATCTGTAGTCTTTCCACTAAAGCTAGGCCATGAAGGTTAACAATGGCAGGAAAGGAAAGGATGTGTATTCGGGCAGTTAACAGTTACTATTTAGCTGTGACCCTTAGGGTCTTGTATGGTTTTGTTCTTTTCTGGCATCTCTAGAAAGATGATAAGGAGTCTTGAAAGTCAGGGTTTATGGAGGATGAAAGGGGAGTGTCAAATTCTAAGGGCCCCATTCCCATACTAAAGGTAAAGTGTGGACGACTCTACGGGCAATTTTACTCTAAGCCACAGACAGGAGGAACTTAGCCCCTATGAGATCTAAGGAGAGCCCCTTTGTTAGGGACAAAGTAGAATGACTCCTAAGGCAGGGAGAGAGATTCAGAAAGGAAGAGTAGGTTGCAAGGAAGTTAAGAACACGTGTGACTGTGTCTTCATTCCTGGGGCCAAACCCCATGTGCATGGGGGGCAGAGCGGTAGGGATGGAGGGGAGACGGAAGCTACATGGTGGGCTCATGGGCTGCTCTTCCAGGCACAGCCTGGGCAAGGCGGCCAGCACTCAAGAGAAGCACTCCTTGTGCCTGAGACACATCCAAGCAGCACAGAGTCACTGGCTCACCAATGGTAGAGGGAGCTGTCTAGCTAGTCGGAGAAAATGCTGCCGGCTTCCCAAAGCTTAAGCAGGATGTTCAGGATATCCCCAAGTTCCCACCTCCTCCCCCATCCCCCACCCCCAAAGGCCACGCCGATAAACAGTCTTAGCGTTGGAAAATGGAGACCGTTGAAGGTGAAGACCGTGAGACCAGAGGTGATGGCAGAGCTGTGGTCAACAGCAGGACAACGCCAACACGTATGTGAGCAAAAGCCAGGGAGTCACTTACATCACCCAGCAGATTCAGCACTGACAGAGGCCAATGACAGAGACCGCAGCAAGACTGCCCAAGGACCTGCGCGCAAGCCTTGGAGGACCCACTTTCATAGCCTCTCCTCTCCCATCTGTTAGATGCTGTCTCGGGGAGGAAAAGGGAGGCTCGACGAAGCTGAGCGTTTATTCTAAGGAGGCAGTCTGAAGCCGGAGACAGACTAAGAGAAGGAGTTATCTCTGATTTGCAAGTTTAAGGCCATCCACCTCTTCCCACCCCCTCCCAAGGCTTGATGGGGCTCCTGAGAGATTTTAAATTAGTGGTATGGAATGAAGAAACTACAGCTTTGTTTGCACAGTCTGAGTCTGAACGTGTGGGAGGTGGGAAAGGAGCAAGGTCTGAAAGCCCACAGGGAACGTGGTCTAACGCAGTGGTTTGCCGGCTGACAATCGCTTCGGGCTTTCTAAAAATGCAGATCCCAGTGTTTCAATTCCAGGCCTACACAGTCAGAATCCTTGGGGAGAGGGGAGGGGTGCGGGGCAAGGAAGCTGCATTTTAACAGCTTTCCTTGTGACTCCAATATGGGAAGCACAAGCACTGATGCAAGCATCAGCCCGGGACAAGATATCCCTTCCTCTGGGTCTGAGGGAAAAGACCAGGGCAGTGCCCGAGGGCAACCACGGCAAGTGCAGGTGAGTGCAGTGGGGAGCTGGGACAGGAACCGGAGCTGGCTGGGATCCGCTAGTCTCAATCCACTTGACTACACACAGATGAGACAGGAAGTAGTCATGCAGGTTGCAAGGGAACTTTGTCTTCATTTTCCTGTTGTCTTTTAAAGTGGAGGCTGTGGGCAAAGGGGCACCTGGAATGAAAATCTGAGAAGGAATGTCTGATTGGGAGCACTCTAAGACAAGCCGTGCAGAACTAACTAGGTCTCAGAGCACAGGGCTGAGCCCTGCCATAAGTCACCTTTTCCTCTGAGCAGGACGCAGTGGTGAGGAGAAAGGCTTTGGAGAGTCACGGTGGGAATCACAGGGGGTCACCTAAGAGATGGTAAAGACACGGTGGGGCTTCTCAGAACCCGGAGACAAGTTCAGCTTCCTTTGAAAATTTTAGCTTCCATTCCACATTTAGTAAAGACCCAAAATACCAAAATACCAAAAATTCTTCAGGGAAGGCAGTAGAGATGGGCTGGAATGGAAGGAAATATAATTTTTTTCAACTGTACCTATGTATTGTTCAGCAGTTGTGGTTTTTTTTATGAAAAAAATGTTCTTATATAACCATGTAGCTTAAAAAAAAAATACCCAAAGCATCTCACCATCTTTTCAGATTATATGTGAAATGTATAGTATTTCTGAACACACTTGTAAGTTGGAAAAAAGATAGATCTTGACTTAATAATTGCCTAAGCAATTTATCAAAACATTAACAAGTAATCGCAAATGTTTTAATGTAATGTTACTGATTCACTTGACATCTTGAATAATCTGTATGTCCAATACACTTTCTATACTCATTATAATTGAACGCTTAATGATAGCTGATCACTAAAATTCTTTGGTTCCACTGCGCAATTTTCGGATATTTAAGATAAAGGGATATTTGCTGCCAAAAATCCACTAATCAAAGTAGAAGCTCAATTTAGATACATAAAAAAAAAAAAAAAAAAATTCGTGCATGAAAAGGACGTCCAAAATGTTTGTATTTAATTTCAAAGCCCAAGTTTTAAGTAAACCAACACAGATCTTTTGTGTTCCTCAAAGCAAGTAAAAAGAAATTATATTAAACGTCCACTATGGCTTGCTGAATGGGCTGATGTATTTTAAGATTTTTCTCAACAACTTTCAATAGCTCTAACTATGCTGTTAGAGAAGCTCCAAACATTTCCTGTTAAATATATATACACATCCAAAGTAAAGAATGGAAAAAATATACACCAGTGTTTTTCTCGGATTGTTATGATCTGAGTGAGGTTTTTGTTAGGCGGTTCTGTATTTCATAAAAATGGGTATATTAGAGACAACAAAGATGTTAAAAAGTCCCATTCACCGGGTTGCCAGTAAGACTACAAAAAACTTTGGTGTATGTACATGAACGTGGTAATCAAAGGGAGTTGTGTGACCATTAAATGAGTGTGGGGAAGGGGCGCCCATTTAAATATATATTCAAGGAGAAATGTACTCAGTGCTCTGAGAAACCGTGGTAAATAAATGCTGGACACACAAAAGCTGAAGGCTGAGGTCAACTTTACTTTCGAGGGCTACCCAGCACAGCTGTCCCACCAAAGAGAAGCTCACTTCCTAACTTCCTGCATCGCAGGGACTCAGCCTCCCCAGACAATGTTTGATACTTGCAATATAGAAACAGGCCACAGATGATTGCAGTGTTTCCTTTTTAAAGATTTGTGTCAGTTACAACATACCGCGATCAGTCAAGCAGATCTTTGCTAAAGCATTAGTCTTGGTGAAGCTCCCCGGAAGCACTCCATGCTTCCAAAACGGCCACCGTGCAGTAGTACGTACAGCAGGGGTGCAGACTGCATCACCACATTTAAGTCCCACAAATGTCTTGGAAGTGGCACTAATGAATGTAAATGTTTATCATTAACATTTCTTCCGAACTGAATGCTTCCTGTTACCTCATTTGTGAGGTGGATTCTTCTAGCTCTGCACAAGCAAGGCTCAGTTGAGCGGGTGTGAATTCCAATCATGTGAGAGCGGCGGGAGCAGCGGCGACGATGAACCTACAAGAGCGGACAGAGAACACATTCCTTTGCTTTTAACTCCCCTTCATGGTATACGTGAGAACAGGCATCTACTGCATGCTCTGGGAATGAAAACACACTTGAACCAAACAGACCCCGGCTTGGGATCTCTTCAGCTTCTCCACGTGTTCCAGTCCTCACTGGCAAACAAGCAGACCCGTCCGACAACATAAAGCATGGGTGTGGTGGAGTGTGCATTTAGGGCCCCAGTTCTTCATCCTTCCTTGTCCCCCCCCCCCCCAACCCAACCCCTTGCCATTTCACTCCGTGGTGACTTTCTGCTCTGAGCTCAGCCCTGTGGCTTGCTTCTGGGGAATGCTGGTCAGCATAAAGGAGGCAGACCTGAAAGGGGCTTTGTGGCCTTGGGTGCTGGTGCTGCCCTCGGCCACCTCCACACAAACATGCCTGGGCCGGCTGATGGAGGAGGACAGGAACATAGAAGCGCTGAGTTGCCCCAGGCAGGGCCGACTTGCCTTGAGGTGAGCCAGGCAAGACCAGAAGAAGTGCCCAGATGCCCGGCCCCGAATCACTGATCAAACTCCTAAACTAAATAAATGTTTACTGTTGCACGTCACTGGACTTTTGGGGTTGTTACGCATCACTTGGGTGGCAAGAGAGAATTGCCTCGCTTGACACCTCGGAGTGTGACATGTCTCCCAACTTTTCCGAGAGAAGAAGGATCCGGGAGTAGAGACCTCACGGTTACCCTCCCCTCCCCTGCACACCATGAAGATTCAGTCATCTATCACCGAGCACCCACTTTGGGCTAATCCCCATAGGCACTCTGAAAAGTCACTTCCTCACTTCAGGGAATCTGAGGAAACGAGGAACGCGAGGCAGTCTGAGGACATGATTTATCTAACGTCACCATAAATTGGCAGAGTCAGGGCCCAAACCCAAGACCTAGTGCCATTTCCCATTACATCAGAAATGATCACCAAGGCTTCAAACTAGCAGAATGGTACTCTGTCCAAAGTCATCAAAGACAGAAAAAGTTTAAAGAACACAAGTGAGTTTTTATTCCATCATCCAAGATAACTGAAGTATTTGACCATGACAGCATTTCACCCTTACTCAGCATTCTTGTTGCCTCAATGGCCCTTAGGATAATGCTATTCCCAGCTGAGAAACACCCAGACGACCTGAGACTAAATCATAGAGATCCCCTATTTCCCAGTTTTATCTTATAGGATTTTACGTTCAACCCCCCTCTTCTTCAGCCAATCACTAAATATGTAAATTGTATATATGAAGATCAGCTGTTGCTTGGTGGGAATACTAATTAGGGAAAAATACCCCGCGTAAATATAAATTAGGGAATAGCGGAAACATATGCACCAATTTTCAAAGGCAGTCTCTTAAAGAATGTAGTAACAGGCCAGATCCTAGGACATCACCCCTGTTTGTGATCTCAGGCCTTACAAAATATGCAAACAAATCCATTACATATTGTAAGATAAGGCAGTTTTCTGGGGGCTTATGTGCAGGAGGTTTTAGGGGCAGAACGGGAAAGGGGGGGGGGACGGGACACAGAGGAGAATGAAGCTGACATTGGCAGATGAGGACTGCTCCACGAGGGAAATTGTACAGACGTTGCTAGAAACTCCAAATTTAGTTTGCCAAATCTAGCTTGACTTTATTAACATATTTGATTTCATATGTATGTAAAATTTAAGCACCTGGATACTGAAATGGTAAGAGATGCTTTAAAGGTAGTTAAGCTTTTAGAGTGTAACATTTTCTCAGTGGTTGTCATTTGAGTTTAAAGACTGAATTTCCTCTGCTGCGTACTTCCTTTATACAAGAATCTTGCAGTGGAAAAGTCCCCTTTGACAACTTCAGAGCATAGGAAGAAACCACAGTGGTTTGCAGGCCGCTAATTCCGTTACAGATGAAAGCATTCAATTATCTCTATAAAACTCAATTCCTTAGAAAATGTGTTTGTGATCAACTAAGTACGTTTTCAAAATGTGGTGCTACCACATGCTATTATTCAAGATTTTGATTTAAAAGTTGGAACGATGTAGTTTGTGGTTCTTGGGTAAAACGAAGACACCTCATCTGTTTTTTCAATAAGAAAGTATTCTCAATATAAAAAGGCAACCTAGAATACTTTTATTCCAGATGTTAAGCTAGGCTTGTTTAAATCTTTGTTTTTAGCCACCGCAGCCCAAACATACTTAAAAACTGCAATCATTTAGAAGGTCATCATTAGCATTAAAATCTTATTTACATGGCATGTATATTTGAAAGTGTGATCAAATATAGTCTAGAGATAAGGTAGCTCATGAATAAAACTTGAACAAGACTTAAAATCAGAGTAAACTCTAGCTTAAGTTCAAGACAGGGGATCTCAATGGAGAATATCTGTTGGGCAGTGGTTAAGGCCTCTCTGATGATTGCTACTTTTTGTCAGAAAAACCTACATACACACAACATTCTGCATAAAATCCCAGAGAGTTCTCTACATTAATAATCTCCAGCTGTACGTTGAGCAAAAAGTTGTTTCGGTACACACACACACACACACACACACACACACACACACACGAACGTGTTTCAACTCCCCATGCCCAAACAAGCAGCCCATACTTGGCCAGGGTTATGTTGGGTATTCTCCTATCCTTTGCGACGTCCCGCTTTCGTGCACAAAGTCACAAGCAAGAGTTTGGCTCCAAGACCTCATTTCGAACAGCTTCTCAAGTCCTCTCCATCCGTCCACATTCAGCGCATCCTTGAATATTGTGTTTAGACGGTATTTTGTCCATTCTCTTACCGCACATCATTCAGAAGCACCTTCTTCCTCCTCCGGGATCATCTTTCCTAAATTACTTTCAAAACTTTTTAAGCAACCTTATTACTGGATAGCATTAAGGTAGGTGCAGAGGCAGCCAACAAAACTATCGAAGACAGAACACAGAAGCGGTGGCCAATCCCTATCTCAAACTCCATTATCCCATAACCAACCGTAAGGTCACGTAGCTTGCACTGGAGCACAGAAACACATGGTTTGTTTGCAGCTTCCTAAAGGCAGGCTTAGTCTGTTGTTGGTTATCACTGAACTTGTTACCCATTAAGTCGGATTCAATGTTCTTGCCTTCTAGTAATGTGGTTGATTTTGGAAATGTCTTCCTATGTGCAAACCAACATGACATTCGCTTTTACACAAAATAACCATCAGCTAAACCGATTCTACACGTTTCCATACCTGTTTATCATAGCAGAAAGTAGCTTTTATATATGCCTTTGTTCTTTGGGATTCCTACATTGGTGAACTATTCATTTTCAGGTCGGGCTCATCTTTGTATTGTGATGAAGAGGAGGAAAGGGAGCTGGACAACTGCACGGGACAAGTATGTTCTTGAGTAGCAGATGAACACGGTCTTCACCCTCGGATGTATCAGGTGCTTAAAATGACAGCACTGGAATACATCATTTTGATAGTAAAAGATCTGCTTCCCAAACTAAGGGGCTTTCAATCTATTTTGAAGCAAGGGCGGGGGGGAAGGGAAAGGATTTGCCAAATGGTGATAAAGCCCAAACACCCAACATACTCCTCCCCTACTCTTCAGCCCTTTGGTGAGCATGTGCAATTATGGAGACTAGGGTAATTATGGAAATCTCCCAGTGCAGACAACCAGTGTCACTAACAGGTTAATGAGCCAGGAACGTTCCCAGGGTGAGGTGACAATGGAAAACGATCTTCTCCTGCCGTCTGTCTAGTGCAGTGCTGTAGTTAATGCTGGAAGATTCCTTTCACATGGTTTATAAAGTTCCATGGAGTAGCAATTTAAGTAGGGTTTGTTTGAATAGGTTTCTACCAATTCAAGATTGTTGATGCAACCATGCTAGTTCCTAGACTATTCAATGCCAAGCAGAGTAGCACGTACTTCCGCTTGTGAAGTCCCTTTTGTTACATCCTAAAGCGCGTCTGTCTTAAATGATTTGAAGAAAGCAGTCTGCTAACCAGAAGTATTGATTCATCCTAGGAGCTGAGCTCTTGCAAGGCACAGAGGAATTGGCTCATCTAAAAAGTTTTTAGCGTTTTCAATTATTTTGTGACACTATAGCTAATTATGAGTAAGCTGTGGCTTACTCTTTTTTCAATGGAATCTTGCTTAAAAGGTTTTTGTTGTTGTTGTTGTTTTTGCTAGGAGTACATTTTGAGAGTAAATGTGAATTTCCCCTTCTAGTCTGTTTTGTTTACAGCAGTTGATACGTATTGGAGATCATTAATTTGGCACAAGCAGGCTCTGAAAGAAACTAAACCGTGTAACTTACCGGCACTGGGGGGTATGTGTTATGGGTGTGCTGTGGGGTGTAATATCAAGCAGTGTGTATCTGTCTGCCAGGGGAGTAGAATAAACTTTTTATATAGAACAAAACTTAAAGAAAAAGATGAACTCTTCGTATCATACTGCCATCATGTGAAACACAATTTTTTTTTGTTTCCATATAATTTAGGGCATGGACAGCAAAATATAATCCCCTCTAACAAAGATCAGTTTACGTTAAAATCAATTAAAACAATTAAGAATTAGTCCCATAATAACATGGTAAACAACTCAAATGGCTTTTTTTCTTTAATGCTAGGAAAAATGTTCACCTTTCAATGGTGAAAGTACTGTTAACACAGGTAGAGAGCAAACAAGGTAAAAAGTGAGAGCACATACAGACACACACAAATATATATAAAAATTGACCAGAAATCACAGGACATTTAAGCAATGTTTTCTTAAGTAGAACTATTTTTTTTTTTTTTTTGTACTTTAAATAGACTAAAATATTTGGTGTGGGCGAGGGGAAGGAAATCAGTATTTCACAATTTTAACTTGAAAACCAGCTGCAATGAAGCCTCAGCTCGTTTAAAAAAGAAAAAAAATGGAACCACATCATACTTTTGACAACCATAGGATTAAAGCTTACAAAGAACACACCTACCATCTACATCACAGTGCACAGAGGACGCAGGCTCCGAGGACCACCACAGGGAAACGCGACAGACTGCATCCCTCATATGTTGCATGACAAAATTAATGCTGTATTAGAAAAATCTCACCTCCCGTGCTTGGCGTTCTAGCTGGTAAACACCTGAGGGGTAGGGGGCTACCAAAACTGAGGGCACCGCTCAGTCTGGATCCGGACACCCACTTTCTTCCCCTGCCATTGGCCGATGCATTTAGTAATCTCAATACAACAGTCACTGAGAAGAAACACTACATCCTGGCCTCTTGAGCAGGACAGTCTGCAGAACGCAGCAGAGGCTAGAGCATCCAAGGCCGTATTTTCTCTCAAGCGAGAAGAAATCCACAATACCACTCAGTTTTCTCTTACTGTGAACCATGTAAATTTCAGATGCGCTTTAACCCCATAAAGACATGATTTGTACTTCCATATACACACAGGTTCTGAGGAACTTAGCTATCTAGTTGCCTCTTCTGTTTCATTAGCCCCCTGGTTACCTTCCCTGGATTACTAAGTGTGAAGTGTCACCACCACGTTGGTGCCATTTGCTATTCTTTGTTATGAATCTCACATTCCGTCCACAGTAGTAAGTGACTGGAGGACACACATCCAAGTATCAGCAATGTTGACAAGCCCTAAGGCAGCTGAACTTAACTGTAACCATCACAATGTTTTAGGGAGTGAGGGTTAGTCGTAAGAACACCTAGGGTGACAGTTCTTCCCGGCGCACTCAGGACTTTGCCAGGTTTGGAACTGAAAGTCCTGCATGCAGGGAACACCTCAGTCCCAAGCGTCCCAGGGCCGCCGGTCACACTGAGAACACCACTCACTCTTCCCCTTGTATCCCTAGGTAAAAGGTAAGAATTTTCAAGATCATAAGGCTACCTATGAGGACATCAGCTCAAAAAACACTTTTAGGGCATTGCTAATGGCAAGCTCCGAGAAGTCCATGGATTCTTTATTTAATGGTGTCCGTTGTAAGAACAGTTGGTGGTACCTAAGCAAATTAGTGGTCAGTGTACAAAAGTTCATTCTTGAAACCTGTTTTCAGACAAATCCTCTAAAGCTTCTTCTCGTTTGGTCCAGTTATATAGTATTTCACTGAATCTTTCTGAGATTTTCAGAGCTAAATGAATAATTCAGTTTTATATGTCTTTTCGTTTTCTTTTTTTAGGTGAAAACACTCTTTGCCAACTATTTCCCACATTCTTGCTTCATATATTGAAAAGACTGCCAACTGGAGATACTCCCCTCAGATTACAAAGGCCCGGAATTGTTACTTTTTACAGCGTTCTGCCAGGAGGCCTGGCCTTGGGAAGTGATGGCAAAGAGTACTCTCAGATACGAACATTTCTATTTTGCCTACAACGCTGTGATCGAGTTCAACAACTGCACATCTGCTTTCGGCGTAATCTCTACTTTTTCTTGTTTTGCCCTCTTGTGTAAAAATGGTTCGTGTCACAGCTTCGCTATCGCTAATAAAAAGATATACATATTTATGCCTTAAATGTCAGGGTCAGAGAAGCAACAATGAAGCCTGAGGTAAAGTTGGTCTAAAAAAGTGACCAATTTGGGTTCTGAGTCTTGCCAAGAAACAGGATTTTTAAAATTAAATCTATGCAGATTACCTACTTGCTACATGTGATGATTTCCCCCAATTTCAATTAATCTGTGTGTATGGTAGTTCCACAAACCAACAAATGATTACATTCTTAAAGCAGGTACATACATTCACCAGAAAAGCACCCTATTCTCACCAATGTACTCTTTTGTTTGAACAATCCAAGAACGTGAATAACGAGACCGACATATTTCTCAAGGGACTTACTGAAAAAAGGAAAATGAAAATCTCTTTGGAAGAGACTTTTAGTAAGACTTCTATCCCTACAGACAGATGCTGAGAATCAACTTTCTGCTACGGCATTGTAAAGGGTAGAACTTAATATAGAACCAGAAATATGGCAAGTTATCTAGTGACTAACAGTGTAAAATAGCCAAAAGCTTTAAAGCCACAGAGAGAAAGAAGAAAAGTGGAGTGTGAAACGCAAAATACATAATGAAGTATTTTTCGAGGTCTAAGACTTCACTTTTGTTCTTATATCAGTATATTATGGATCTCATGGTTCAATGAATGATCATCTTTAATTAGAAATAGGAAGTAAATCCTTAACTTCTCACTGAACATTCTGGAGAAACAAAGAGCTTTCTTTCTTTCTTTTTTTTTTTTTTTTTTTTGAAGGGTAGGAGAAGATGATTTTGCAGGATTTTTTTTGGAGAAAAATCTATACGTCCTTTGTGTGGTGCTAACGAATCCTTCTCACTCCCATCAACAGCAGCATTATTCTTCCAAGGGCCCTTCTGTCTCCACCAGTGCTTGAAATGTGTGGTCAATTACAGATCTCATGGCAGCAAACCAATGGACACTGAAGTTAACTTAGGCTAACACACTCTGGTCAGGAGTCTGTGAATCAGAGATGACCCAAAGAACTTTGGAAAATCCATTTCTGTTGAGCACAGCTAAGAAAGTCAGGTCTGAACCACCTTCAGGCTGCCCTTAACTACAGGAGAACTTAACTTGGTAGTGCTACCTCCCAGGTATCTTAAGCAGCTCAGCAATCTTAAGCTGAGATGAAAACAGGGGATGGCAATCTGACACTTAAAAAAAAAAAGTTAACCCTACTCTAGTACCTTCCAGAGACCACTGGACGTATAATAATTTAATCAATGGGTGTCTATCGTAGTTTTACTTGATGTTAAAGAATTCCAGTTATGATTCTTCATTATCAAGCTGCCTAAAAATGGCATACTAACCGAACTGCCAATCAGGACTTTGGCAGAATAAATAAATTACTCCGAAGGTCTGAAAAGAAAATGTCTGCAAGCAAATTAAGGAACTCTCAGTGAGATCTGAGATTTAAACAACAGAATTACTCCGTGATGCTAAAATGTAAGCAGATAAATGACCCCTACTGTTAAGGTTTTCCTAGGAGTGTGTATGTATCTATAAATCCATACACACACACAATAGAATTTATTTCCTACTAAAAAGATTTAAGGCAGTTATGCTATATATAAAGTTAGCTATAATATCCAAGATAAAACCGTTCCTATTCAAAAAATTACAAGAAATTATTCAAGAAATTAGACAAGTTCTTACCATAAAGTCTATCATGAGGCTGTCTATATCTAGTATAGCTGATGTTTCCTGGTTGAGGCTCCAAATACAGGAATTCCACTCCAAGAGATGATTTGTCCCTCAATCCCCACATAAAAGGTAGTCTGAACACAAAGTATTCATGAAAGCTTGAAAAGACATAAAAGGAACTCAACAGTAGGATTCTGACCACCTCTAGAGACCACTCACTATCGTCATTACTCTTGATCGTACTAACAACAACACAATACGCTCCAAGGTGGAAATGGGCTGGTATTAGAGGAAAATCATTGGTTGCAACTGCTGGAAAAGTTCCTAATCCTAAACATAATTTAAAATAGAATCTGTAATTCATGCTATTTACTAGTCACAAAGACATTTAACTGGAGAGAATTTCTCAGCCATCTGTTAAGATTTAAGTGATTGACCAATTGGAACAACATCAACCTTCATGGTGAATTAGGACCCTGGGTATGAAAAGCACCATCGTTTTTGGTCTTTAGTAAAGGTCAATGGAGAGAAACATTCTGATGTCTGCAGATAAAACATGGTTGGCAAGAGGGCAGCCAGCAAGACCACTAGGGATACGTTCTGTCATGAGAAAGGGAGGAAGGATACAATTCAGTTGATGAATTATCAAGAAGTTAGCAGAGTAAAGCTCATGAAGGAAAGAAACTGGCCAAAAATCTGTCATGTCTGAACACTGGTGAGTTGGATCAGAGTAAGAGAAAAGATCACATGTTGCTTATGTCCACAGACTACCTAGTTATCTACAGAGACAGAGGAGATGGTGTGGAAGGGGGTAGGTAGTCTGTGAAATTATCATGTATAGCCATGAAAGCAAGTGGACATAAAGGCAAATTTTAAGCAAAGTGAACATTCTCTTGTGTTACTTTATAACTCACCATCAACCAGACTGGGGAGGGTGCTGATTACTGAATAAATGCTCAAAAGCATTTTTGCAAGGGGGGGGGGGGGTGGGCGGCGGGAAGACAGATCTTAAAGGTGTATTTGGACATCTTTTGGAAGAGGTAGAGAAACCAACTGGGTATATATAATCCTTTCCTTGATTTCAATTAGCAAGAGACCAGACTGATTGTTCTTCACCTTCAGTGTCTTAGTCTTCATTAAAACTGACCTAAAAGGCACAAATAAACTGAAATTAAAGTAATTTTAACAAAGGAGAAAATCGGACACATTTAAAGGCAGAAGAATCAAGCAAAGTTGGATATGGTTTAAAGTTAAACAAACAAACTAGGTATTAAACAATTTGCAATTATATACTTGGGATACAGAATTAAGAGTACAGAATACGAATATTTAGCTTTTGAGAAAAATTAGGCAGTTTTCCTTCTGGCAAAGTGGCAGGTCCTGAGAAAAGGAGTAACTCCACAGCTTGAGGGCCAGGACTAAATCCCAGTCATCTTTTCATTACTGAGCACCTTCCACCGTGGCTGGATAAAGAGCAGACATCAGTAAATGTTCACGGAATGAATGGATAGCATACTGTATAATTAGTATAACTGGCGTAGCTCAAACCAAATCAGGAAGGTTCCCTGAAGTAGGAGAAAAGAACACAGGTAGGGTTGTTCCAAAAAAGTGGGCCGAAGTCCAGTCATGTGTTCTAATCCTAAACAGTGCTTACACAGACTTTTCAACTTTTTTTTTAAAGCGGTAAAACTCTTTTTTAAAAAGAAATCTATAATAGAACTCCATTATAGGATAAAAATGAAGCTGCCACTGGTTAAACCAAAGTCAGTGGGAACATCACCAGCCTCTGATTCCCTACGACGTCTCTCTATGGACTCTGCTGTGCAAACCACCATTCATCTTAGAAATGTGACAGAAAATATGTTCACTCAGTTCTCATGTGAAACAAAATTACCGGCGCTGTGGAGGGGGATTTCTAAATAATGTTGCTAACTTAAATAAAGACAAAATTCAACAGACAGGAGAACTTATCACTCAGAAGAATGAAAACAACCCCAATGGGGGGGGCGGGGGGCAGGGAACCAACAAAAATTAGGCCGCAGCAGACAAAACAGAATGTAAACACAGCATCTCCTTAAAAAGCACGTAAAGTCATCGAACACCAACAGAGTCAACTGCCCGACAGGTGCAAGGTCCCAGTACTACAGATACTTCCAAAGAGCTGAGTCTCAGTTTCATGTTGCAGAGAAGAATCCCAACACGGTTGTAGAGATGCCATCACTCCTGAGACGCTAGAGCTGGCACTGCTCCACTTGAAACATCGGCGCAAGAGTAGCTGATTACCAGGACCTTCTACCACTTTCAAGGTTGTTCTCTGTCCCTGGAACTGCTCCCCAACATCACCCCAAGTTCTCAAGTAAGCTCAACTCTTCCAAAGGGGCAGAGGCTGGTCTGGGTTATCTCCAGCCGGCCTGACAGTGGTCATACCTGAACACACGAAGCCATCTATCACAAAGTAAGGCCACCCTCAACTCTTAGAAATTACAGAACCCTTCTGATCCTCGAGTTTGGATCTGTGCAGAGACTTCTACATAAGCATTAATACTCAATAGTGAGTTTCCTTCAAAATGAGCCTTTGCATTTGACGTCGTTCTCTTGGCCAGGAAGGCCGATCTCCCTGGCTCCCCGCCATGGCTTACTCCCTTCTCACATCAAATGTCAGCTCGAGCATCACTTCCTTAGAGAAGCCTTCCCTGCCATGCTCTACCACAGTACCCTGTTTATCTCCTTCATAGACACATAAGCTCATTAAGGGTCACAGTAACTGATGTCTCAGCCAAGGCAGGGACCAGATTTGTCTTGTTCACCTTTACCCAAGGCAAAGAAAGTTCCTGGCACACGTAACAGGTGAACAGTAAGTATTCGTTGAAAGAATAAAAAATTACCATACCAGGTTTACATGAACACATACATGTACACACAAATACAGGAAAATGGGGGAATATCTAATAGAAAACAATCAAATACTGAGAGCCCTGAAAAGGATACCTACAGAGACAGCTAAATATGGTTTCAAAGAACAAGTACCAAAGGTGTCTATCTTCAAAAATATGAAAATTTACTAGAAGGGGGTCAGGAGTGGCTGTTTCCCACTTCTAAAGAGATGCAAACAAGAACTGTTTAAACTGCAGACTTAACATTAGACATAAGGATTATCTGCTGCTGCATGGACTACAAACAGAGCGTCTGGAACCTCCTCTCATGGCAGAGCATAAAATGTCAGCGGGTATAATAGTCAACCACATTTTCAGGATTAGTTAAGAACACCTCCGACTGTAGGTAATTATAAGCTAAAAAAGCTTGCTAAACTGCTTCTCCCCCAATTTTTAAAATTCTCAATTCACAATTAGGTAAAATAACACTTTATAAATTTAATACAACATACTTTAAAAACAAATGGCCCTTATCTGCTGATCATACCTCAGCATCACTTTTGTGGGTATTGTGCAGAAGCAATTACATTTACAAAAAGGTCCATTTCATAATACAACCTGGTAACTAAATCACACGAAACTCAAAGAGCCCTAGGTCCGCTACTGAAGTATTGTAAAATAGCTTTTAAAAAAGAGTGTTTGTATCTAGAGACTGGCTTTAAAAAAAAAAAAAAAAAGGATAAATACAGTGAAATAATTGTAGCATATCCCTGAAAACAATTATACTGCCATTTGCGTTTTTATGAGGTGCAAGGATAAATCACCAGACTGCTTGGTTACGCAAGTCAATTACTATCTGTTGAAATTCGCTGCAAGACGGAGGGGTTTATTCCATATGAATTCGCACTGTGCCCCAGAATTAACTGGTGCTGGCAGTATCAGTGCCACCATTTTAGTGATGGATGTCATGCTACACAGTTTTGGTATCAGGGCAAAAGCGGGAACGGAGAAGAGGTCTGGAAAGATTTTCTGCAAAGTTTCGTTACAGTGAGATTTAGCAGTAAGTAACACAAAAAAAAATGACTGTTTAAGACCCACTGAACACATTAAGGTCAAGGATTTCAAAAGTTAATCCACTTTTCTTCCCCCAAGAGTTTATTTTTGGTAAAAGGCAGAAAAATTAGTTTTTCTACAAGGGAAATCTGCTTCTAAATGATAATTTGAAAATCTTGATATATATTATATATTAAAAAAGACACACAAAAATAACGGAGAAGTGGGAATAACAGATTAGGTACTGTAACTTTATAAAGGCTTGCCTAAATCAAGAAGCAGCACACACACACCTAATTTCTGCAAACTAAAAATGTATATAAACAGCACAATACTGTGATACTGGATCATGATACATTACCTGTACACATAACTACTACTGTTATTAATAAACCTTTGGGACACTCAGTTTTATGCCCAACAAGACATCAGTCAAGTCTTTAAAATCTTCTCTTTCTCCTTTATGGGAGGGTATTTCTAGACACTAATTTTCCCATCTAATATTTGAATATAGGAAACCGATTCCACAAGGTGCTTTAATTGACGAGGCCTCAAGTGCTGTTTTCTCTCTGCAATTTTTGGACAGTAAACAGTCCGTAGGGACCACACACAAATACTATGACAGAAGAGTTGTTACATTAAGTCTTTTGATGGCGCTTGACTGGTGCCGAAGCTTTAGGACATGCTTGAACAACGCACTGAAGGGGATCCCATCTGAGTTAACACTTTGTCCAACCACTGCAGAGGCCCATTCAGATGAAGTTCGATCCAGCAAGGAGTGCTTGTTACCGTCTGCCTTCTATTTAAGAGAATACAAGAAAATAATTATGAAATGAAAAGAACATGGCTATGTTTAGTTAGCTACATGCATTAAGAATTCAGATAAATTAAAAAGCTGTATATACTAAAACCTACATCCTTTTGAACAAGCATTCAGTCTGGATAGCGATTACTTTGAAAACGATTTAATCCTCAAAGTCTGACAAAATACTTCTAATGACTTTTTATTTTATTTATTTATTTTTGCTTTTAAAGAGATGAACAAAAACATCTTTTTCTCTTCAGATTAAAATTAGGAGGGTGACCCGACTATTTACCATCCAAAAGGAGACACCTTTAAGAGGAAATCAGGGGTGCTTGGGTGGCTCAGTTGGTCAAGCATCCAACTTCCGCTCAGGTCATGATCTCACAGTGGGTTCGAGCCCTGCGTCGGGCTCTGCGCTGACAGCTCAGAGCCTGGAGCCTGCTTCAGATTCTGTTTCCCTCTCTCTCTCTGCCCCTCCCCCGCTTGTGCGTGCATGTGCGCTCTCGCTCTCTAACTCTAAAAAATAAATAAATATTTATAAAAAAAAAAGAGTGAATGTAGTCACTATTAATAATCATGCTAGGACAAGAGACTCCAACCAGACTGCCCCCAAGCAAACCAGAATATATCTTACTTACTATTCAACAATAGAACAGAGGATATTCAAATACCAAAGAAAGTCTAAATGGAACAGGGCTCAAATTTCAAGTATACCAAAACAAAACAGAATTCTGACCTAAGCTTATCACAGAATGTTAAGAGTTGGAGTTCAGCTTTTCCCTGACAAAGCCAAAGAAAAACATCCCTGTTAGAAACATCATGTAGGCTTTTAATACGAAACACCTCTAGTACTTCGACATAATGGGAGACTGGGAATTACAAATTGTTCAATGACATCCTGTCACTCGCACATACTGATTTTAGTTCTTATTTATTATATACAGTAAGTTGGTGAGTCTGCTTGCTTCTTAGCAGGACAGCCCTTCAAACATGGGAAAAGGCCATTATCAACTCTTCATCTCCAAGCGACACATGCTCAATGAATTTAAAACTGTATTTCAAAGGATGTGGTTTTCTGTAGCAGATGGTGTCAGTGCCCCACTAGCACCTTTGGATTTTTCAGTATTCTCTAGCCAACTTCCAATTGCATGTGTCTGAATTTCGGTGCCTGAGAACTTCTCTGGTCTGGCCACACGTGTATCAGACCGCAAGTGCTAGGAAACTAACCTCCCTGGAGCAGCCCTCAACCAATGACAGGGGGGTTGGCATTTAAATGTCCAGTTTCCTTTCCTTCTGGGTCAGATAATTCTGTACGTTCGTTACTATTTCCCAAGTTTCCCTGGCGGAAAAAGCTCTAATGACCCACCCAACATAGTAGATGGCTTAATAATGGTATTGGCTGCCTTCCCTCCCCTACCTCACTTCCCTACTTCCTCCTTCCTTACCAGTGTTTCCTCCATTTCCTGAACAAACTCCTTGCATTTGAATCCTTGTCTCAGGGTCTGAGACGTACACTAAGACATGTTGATATGTGATCATTCCTAAAACATGACACATGGAACACAATACAACAGTCTCAAATCTGATCTGCACAGACTCAGTGTCTTATTTTGCCTTAGATACTACATTTTGGTCGATGCAGCCTAAAACTTCACTGGCACACTTCACAAGTTCACTCACGTTATCCATGAGGCAGAGGCAGGACTGACCCTTCTTCATTTTCCCCTCTGTTCTCTGTTGTTCTTCACATAAAGCTTCCCCTGCCTTCTATCTCTCCCTCAGATCAGGCATTCTGCAGGATTTTGCCAGGATCCCTTTTAATTTTGATCCCGTCATTTGTGGACTTCTGGGTATTTCTCAGTTTGTTTTGAATCAGATCATTCATTACTAGATTAGTTTAACCTTAGGGAATAATTCTTAATCCGGGTCACTGAATGGGAAGTAAGTAGGTTTAAGAAGGTTGTCACTATACGTATTTGGGCACAGAAATGCACCCAAAAACTTCTTTATCCCCCTATTTATTCACTTCAGTATCAATCCACTGAGCTCAGGTATATTTCTCAATTAAGTATCAATTCTTTGCACATCTGTATTTCCTGTTCACGATACTTCCTGATTTTTTTTTTTTTTTAATGTTGGCAAACATGCTGGCATTTTAAGAAACTGAAAAGTAGTTTTAGAAATGTAACCATTAGCTCTACCTCCTCAGCTCCACTGTCAATAAGGATAAAAGGTTCCTGGTAACTGCCAATAGTTCACAGATAGGAGTATTTGACATTATTGTTAAAGGAAATGTTAAAGGAAACTACTTTATTACCCAAGGTAGATCTATCGGACTTTATACAAATAAAAACATACTGTGTGTTACTGCTTCTCATAATTACAGACTTTCAATTCTGAGTTAATGAACGGCAGAGTCCGTCATGCATGAAGGGCAGTACCTCTCTCCACCAATAAAGGTGTGGTTAGCAGGAGACCTACGGACATATGTGGAATTCTCCCTGAGCTCTACAGTTCACATTGAATTCCGCTAAATTTCTGCTCCCATGTTCTGTAATATTCTAATCTTTTGAAGAAAAAAATGTGTGACCCAAAAGCCTGGTATCAGATAGTAACCATTTAAATTTAAATTTTAATATCAACTCAGGTCAATTTAAGTCCAAGGCAAAAAGGAACTCGGCATTCTTTAAAGGCATCATATGTCAAAAGGGAAATGATTAAAATAAAAGAGAAAAGTCACAAAATTAATTATTCTACCAATAGAACTTGGACAAAATAATGACAAGTCTTCATTCTAGGATATAAACATATAACACACTATATATTTCTTATAAAAGCAGTTGACCAGCCGACCTCAAGTCTCATGATCCCAAGAGGCACACACCTCCCAAAATTTGTTCAAGATACAGAATCAGGTCCAAATGAAATGAAATACATTCTGAAGAAGGGCTCAAACTACTGGACGAAACAGGAATACTATTACTACACTATATGAGTATTTTCATATGCAGGCGTTCAGAGAGTGAGGAGTATGAGCGGCAGAAAGGCTAAGTATTTTACTTAAAATTCTAGCCTTAACTATGGTGAGGAAGTCTTTGCTTTCTCTGATGTGGAATTCAATCCACTGTTTAATTTGGTAATAACTTAATCTACCTTATCCCCTGCTGGCACATTAGCCTTTGTAAAACTCAATTACATGACTGTTACTACTACCTTCAGAGAGGGGGCTAAAAGTCAAGGAGAGCTTTCGTCAGGTCCCCCGGTCTCCGCCACTTACAGTGCATCCCTGGGCAAATTATCAAATCTTTTCTAAGCCTATTTCTAAATAAGCATTCATTTGAACCACTTTTTGCAACCTTATTAAAAAAAAAAAAAAAAGGGAACAGAAACAGTTAATTCTTAGCTATGCTGAAATGAGTGAGATATTGCATTTAAAACAGAGGACAAGACCATGGGGAAGGGGAAAAATATTTATATAAGTATAAATATAAATATACAGTTACAAACAGGGAGGGAGCCAAACCATAAGAGACGTTTAAATACAGAGAACAAACTGAGGATCAAGGGAGTGGCGGGGGTTGGGGAGCGGGTGTGTGTGGAGATGGGCATCGAGGAGGGCATTTGTTGGGATGAGCACTGGGTGTTTTATGAAGTAAGTGATAAATCACGGGAATCTACTCCTGAAGCTAAGAGCACACCGTACACACTAGGTGTTAGCTAACCTGACAATAAATTATATAATAAATAAACAAATAAATAAAATTAAAAAACAAAAACAAAAACAAAAAACACAGCACAGTGCCTGGCCCTTAACAAGTACCCCCTTCTATTACTGAATCAAGTTCTACCTCTTAACCTTCTATTCAACTGGTCAACTTGTCTATCCAGCCGCCTTCTCCTTTACCTTCTATACTCCAGCGACACGGAACTGGATTCTGTTGCCAGGATCACTGTGGCCCAACCCTTCAACCCCTAACTGAAATCCTACGCATCTTTCAGAATCCAGACCATGTGGCATCTCTATCAGAAGAAGCCTTCCCAGAGCCTCAGTGAAAGCGCCTCTCCTTCCACGAACTGACATAGCCTTCAAATATACCCCTTTTATGGTATTTAACACCCTGCGTTACATTACAGCGCATGTCTGCACAGGTTCTAATTCTGTCTTCTACGCTGCCAGCATAGGAACTGGCAGTAGTTTTGAACGTAGAGACCTCCAACTCCCTTTTGTGATTTTGCATATGCTCTGCGGACTCCATAACCTTAAGGAAAATGGATCCGTGTGAACTCCAGAAGATACAAAGAATGGGGGAGAAAAGAATCAAACATTGTGGAAACTGAAGAACTGAATATGTATTTCATACCGGTATTCTGCTCCCCACCCTTTCACAAAACTCATTCTTATGGTGCACATTCTAGTTAGTTGATACACGGCTTCAAAACCCTGATTGACAGACTGAGCCAGAAGAGCAGCAAATTCCTGGTTGTTGAAGATCTTCAGATTGCAGCCTACGATTGAAACAAGTAAAAAAAAAAAAAAAAAGAAAAAAAAGAAAAAAATTGTGTGAAAAGAATATCACGGTCAAGAAAATAATTTTAAAGGGGCTACAGATCTTAAAATGCAAGGACGCCAATCATCTCCTGATTCCTAAAATTAATAGCAACTAGAGAAGCTCAGCGCGCTGACACAACAGGTCTGCTGACACAGATGCATCCATACCTGGTGGGATTTTACACACTGTTGCCGGGTGCCAGCCGTATCTCTGATTACAGTTGGGGCTCTGCACAAAGATTGCACTGTCGCTTAGGCACTCTGCAAAAACTTCTCCACCTATGTAATATAAGCGTACTCCTCTCCCTAAAACAAAATACATATGGGATTAGTTTCATAACATCTCCTGTTTCAGTATGACTTTGGGAGAGTCTTCTTGGAGGAGGATTAAAATGATAGAAGGTATTTCGATAACCTTTTCCATAGCAATGCTTTTCTGAGGTCTAACATTGAAACATACCACTCTGTATTTTTCCAAGGATTTTTTAACAACGATTTTATTGATTTGAAAAAATACACGCTTGTCAAAAGTACGTAAACGATGTAAAAAAGTACATGTAAAGAATTCCATACACATTATATATTATTTTAAAACACGTAAAATAAATGGAGTTAAGTCTAAAGGAATTAAGTGTTTGGATAAATACACCTTCGTTATAATAGACAGTATTTCCTTAAAGATGCCACTAAGGTTAAGAAAAAAGTGAATAAAATCATCAAGAAGTTAGTGTCATTTGCCATTTTTACAATTCTATTAAGGTGACCACCAAATCCCTAGGTAGATAAGCAGAACTAGGGGAGAAAAAATTATGCTGGAAGATTTTAATATACTTTTTTCAGAATCGGACAAATACACACAAAATATTAGAGATAGAAGGATTTAAAAAACCAACTGTGAAAGGTAGAGATCTCAGACAGCACCTAAGGTTCTCACTCCTGGTGTGCAGACATCTTTTCTATTATTCAGTCAAACACGAATCTAGGTGCTGCCGTTAAGGAATTTTTCGGATGTAATTAAGGTCTCAAATCTGCTGACCTCAAGAAAGGAAGGTCTTCTTTTGGCAGGCCTGACTTAATCAGGTGCTAGCCCTTAAAAAGGACGGGGCTGTCCCTGGTGAAAGTGATTCAAAGTGTGAGCGAGAGGGTTCAACACCAGAGATTCTCGGCTGCTGACCGTGAAGACAGAGGGCCCGTGAGGCACGGAATGGAGGGGACACCCACTTGTTGAGAACAGCTTCTAGCTGTCAGTCTGCAGGAAATGAAGACCTCGCCGCTGTAACTTGAAGGAAGTGAACCCTGTGACAATCATGTGAGCTTGGAAGAGGCCCTCCAAGCTCCAGAGGAGGACACGACAAAGTCAATGCCATGATTTCCCCTCGTAAGATCCTGAGGAGACTCCTAACCCATGCCTGGACTCCTGACCTGCAGACACTGTGAGATCATAAATCTGTGTTGTTTCAGTCTGGCAAGCGTGTGGTAACATGTTACACAGCAAATGAAAACTAAGAAAACATTTAATACATAAACACAGAACCTGATGCCCTGCTCTTGTGACCACAGAATATTTGTAAAACAATCAAACATACACTTGACCATCAGGAAAAGATTAAATCCAAAAAGCAGAGATTTTCCAAGCTATAGTCTCTCATCAAAACCACCCAATAAGTTAGAAATTGAAAGTAAAAAGATCCAATAATTACGGCAACCTAAAATTATGTAGAGAAGTAAATACGGTAGAGGGAACCTGTTGAATTTTTATGCAGAACCCCAATTAAAACACAGGCAAAACCAGAATTATTTTAGTTAACGTAGGGTGGGTACTCAGAAGCCTTCCTTACCCACAAGACACCTAAGATTACACAAAATTTATACATCAAGCAAGATTTGAGAAATTCCACACAAAGCAACATTAACAGACCTCTTTAAGTTACAGCACGTTTGCGGAATGATACTCGCTCTTTAGTGACCAGCATTATTTCTCACAAGAGGTCAGAGTTAATTCATTAGAAACTGAAGCAAACTATTGTTAAAAGAGGTTACTTTAAGGAAATGAGAACTATGTTCAGTTATATTAGTCAAACTTTTTCTACCTCATTGCCAAAAAAAATACTGGAGACTCAAAGAGTTGCTGTTTATGTGGACTGCATCTATGGAAACTTAGCACATTAGATATTAAAACTGAGATTCAAAAAAAATTTATAATTCATTTAAAGTTCTAAATAATGCATCTATTAAATACTAATATAAATAACATGTTTATGAAAAATAACTATTTCCCCTCCCCCCCCCAAATTAGTGAGAACAGCAATGTTTTACATTTTTGCAAATCTCTCTAATGTCTGGCTTAAGAGAAGAAAGTTGGATTCTTATCAGATTCTACATGTAATCTCTTGCAAAATCACATGCCTTGTAGCTTCTGGAATATTTCACTGTACATTCATGAGTGAATGAGAGCGAAAAAAAGGCAAATAGCATCTTAGTACCATTATGAAAGAAGTTTTGACCTCACGAACTTGCTGAAAGGGTGTCTGGGACTACCACATTTTGAGAGCCTCTGAACTATTTTTTGACCTACGTACTAAATAGTAGTTCTTATTTATAATATCCTGCTTCGGGGGCACCTGGGTGGCTCAGTCGGTGGAGCGTCCAACTTCAGCTCAGGTCATGATTTCAAGGTTCATGGGTTCGAGCCCCGCACCGGGCTCTGTGCTGACAGCTCAGAGCCTGGAACCTGCTTTGGTTTCTGTGTCTCCCTCTCTCTCTCTTCCCTCCCCCACCCCAACTCGCACTCTATCTTTCAAAAATAAACACTAAAAAAATTTTTTAATAATAAAATAAAGTATCTTGCTTTCGATTAAGGGTGAGCAGATTTAATTATTTAGTATATTAATTCCCTGAAGGGGGAAATACTAGGGGACTGGAAAAAAGTCATGGTTTGTTAAAATTGTAATTCGAAAATCCGAACAGGACACTTTTATGGCTGGCGGAGGTGCAGCAAAGTAATTTTAACATGCATTTATCGAAGGACTTCCCGGAACCAAGGGTGCCAAATAAAGAGAAGCCGAAGGTCAGAGTCTGCAGATCTATTAAAGCAGTGGATCTATGAAAGCAGCGAAGCTGTGCACTCACACTGACAAGAGACAAGGCAGGCGTTTCTGCACACAATCTTCTGATGTGGCAAACTGCACGATGCTCACATTATGAGTACACGGCACTGGTTCTTGACATAAGGTAAAAACACATACCTATATGTCTTCTTGTCATTTCTACGGTGGCATTTCGGTTGACGTTGGAGAGCAACCCTAGGCAGAACCTCTCTGAATTGGATGGATCTGTGAAACCGTCTACAGTGAGTGAGGGCTGTGATGCGTGGAAGGTCTCTCCAACCCTCTGGTTTAATTCATAATATGCTATTGAACACCAAAATGCAGGTTCTGAGTAAGTAACTGGCTGCAAATCTGGGGAAAAAAACCAAACCCATAAAAGCAAGAAATGTTGTGTGAACAGTTCAAGCCAAGAAAAGATTGAATATCATCAGATATCTGTACGTGCTCTATGCCAGCCTAAACTGGCTGCAGCTCAGGAAGCAGACTTAACATCTACACCACAGACTCCAGTCTCCATTAGATCATACCAGATTTTCAATGTTTCAAATTTCCCCCATCTCATTCGGTCATCTAATCTTCAAACATCTTTTTTAGACTTTCTGGGGGGTCATGTTCTACTAGTAGTTTTATCCTAGTTCCTGTTCAAAAATAAAACCATCACGGGTAAAGTAAATCCACTTACATAATAAAACTAATTTTTCGTAGGATACAGTGGAATAAAGCTGGAGCAAGGACTGAGTCAAACGCCACAAGAAGAAAAATTCTATCATAATCATAGAACACAAAATACGACGTATTTCTGACATTGTCTATTTTAACATGAGATTCTCGGTGAGTTACCCTAGTTACACAAATAGAAAACCCATGCATATACAAGAAACAGAAAGTAATAAAACACAAAAGGCATGTAAGTAGAAACAGAATATGGAATCAAAAGAATCTGCATATTTCATGGACCACATGAATTTAACTTCTGTAATTTTGATTAAAAGACCCAAGGAGTATCATGAACATTTTGTAGAATAAACTCATGTGTAGAAACTGCAGAGAAATTGGGAAATACTGAGGTAAAATGAAGGCCAAGGATAAACTACACAATGTACACACACACGCAATCTTCCATACCCCATGCATATTTGTGACTGTGTGTCTGTGTATATATACAGACACACACCTTTTTATATTAGTAATTGCTATTACAAAATATCATAAAATAAACATACCCATATAAATCTAGCCATAATATATCATAAAACTTTCCATAAAGAATATGATTTCCATGGATAGAAAGATTTATTCGGTTTGATACTGTTTTAATAGTTTTAATAGTATTGATGTTTTAATAGTATTGAGTTTTAATAGTATTAAGGCAAATTATCATTTTTAAAAAGCACTAATTTGAACAATCATTTGATTATTCATTGAGATCTGTTTCTCATGTATATGAAAAATAATTTTCAGAGAAGACATTTGATTAATGGATATATTATAAAATGTGTGTGTGGGGGGGGAGTGTGGGGGAGAGGAAGTATTTGCCACTTACCCAAACTATGATTAACAGGGGAAAGAGTAGTAGGAGACAGTTCTGCTGGAGATCCTGAAACAAAAGGAGTCAATTTTGTAACAGATCTGCAAGTACTTCCAGAACTTCTGACCAAATAATTGTAAAACTGGTTGCATCTGGTTGTAACTATCACAAATAATACAGATAGTTTACATCCTAACAATTCAAAATAGGCAACTGCGATATGTGAATTTAATTTTGGAGGCTTCAATATATAAAAGGTACGAGCGTATGAGCAGCCCTGGCTTCTAGCCGCCCAGTTCTCCTTCCCAAAGGCATCCAGTGTTGCCAGTTCTTTGTGCACCTTTCCAGAAACAGTCTATGAGCCACACAAGCAAATATATACTGTTTTGTGCCCTTCCACCCTGATTTTTATACACAAATGGTAACCATTCTGAACTTTGCTTTTTCACTACCGAACTTTATCAAGGATGTTGATGTTTATTTATCGCTCTCCCTTCCTCCTTCTCTCTCAACATAAGCTGCATAATCTTACATTATGGTGTATTATGATCCCATATTGATGGATACTCAGACTATTTTCGATCTTCTGATTTACGAACCAAGATTGCAATGACTAATCTTGTACGTCTTGCATACTTCCAATCATATCATTCTCTTAAGAGAAACCGCCAGGTCAAAGGGTTATACATCCACAATTTTGATAGATTTTGCCAAAACTGTCATCTATAGAGGTGGTACCAGTTTACACTCCCGGTGGCAACATAAATGGTGAGAGGAGGATGCTGATGTGTTATCACTGACAGGTGAAAACATGGTTTTAACAAGTAGAGTTCTAATTTGTATTTCTCTTATAAGTGACATGGAACAGCTTTATTAAACTTTCTTATATTGCATTTCCTTTCTGTGAACAGTCTCTTCTTTTGCTCATGTTTCTACAGTGGTGTTGATCACCCTCACTGATTTATACAAGGGTCTTTATGTACTAGGGATATTAGTCCTTTTATGATATGGGTTGTAAATATTTGTTCATCTGTCTTAAGACTGACTCTTCCTAATTTTGATTAAGCAGAATTTTTAAAAACGATCATGTGTTTTAATTCCGTGAATCATTTTGGGATATGTCACACTTCGATAAAACAGTTGTGACAGTTGGATATTCCTGACTTACTCTCAACCTTCAGGGGATACTTCTAATATTCTCCCATTAAGTAGGACGCTGATTTGGGGATGAGAGATAAAATTCCTTATTTAGCATTTTTGCATCAATAATCCCAAACAATACTGGTCTGCGGATTTACATTCCAACTGCAATGTTATACTGCCTCATGGAGACAATCTAGAAGCTTTATGTCTTTTTTAAGCTCTGTTAACAGTTTACACAGCATTGTAATAAAGCATTTTTAAAAGTTTGATAGAATGCCTGTGTAAAATTGTCTCTAGCTAACAATTTTCTAGGGTTTACCCTAAGACATTTCTCTTTTCCTTCCATGAAAGTTCACTGTTAAGATAGCTCTATTTTCTCAAGTCAGTTTTGGTAAATTACATTTTCTTAGAAAATTATCCATTTCTTCCTGTTTTAGGCAAACAGGTTAAACCTAATCAAGACAATAAGGAGAGGGGGCACAGATACATAAAATACACAAACACAGAAGAAAAAAACCAGAATCTTTCAGAGACTACTTCACCCAATTCCATGCAATTACATTTTAAAGCGCATTTGTCGTGAATGCTGTTAAGCAATCTTATAATTACAGAATACGTTGTGTTTTCTGGTCATCTTCTCTTCACGTTTGGGGAAAGTTATGCTAAAAAGCACGACCCACAGCCCCCACACTTCAAACAACACAGCAACAGTGCAGATGCAGAATAAGACAGGTGAGACCCCAGCCTCACGCGGGTCTCCCCTCCCCCACGCCATCATAACCAGGACAAAATACCAGGCGGCAACAGGTGAGATGGCAACCCCCAAAGAAACCGATGAACCAAAAATAGAGAACAGGTGACAATTATTTTTCTGAAGACAGAACCGTCTTCCCAAACAAAAAATTAAGTTCTTGAGTTCTTTTTTTGTTCTTCAGTTTGAAAAATCTGCTGGCAAGTCACAACAGGTCCAACTAAGAAAGGTCAAAATATATTTAGAACAATGAACTAAAACTCACCGTTTCCTGAAGCTGGTATAAAATAAACAAAGCTACCATGAGAAATGGAAGAAACTGCCCAAGTATTCTTATCTTTCAGCTATTGATTCCTCTATTAAGTATTTGTCACTTATCAAAAGCGACCAGATCTAGAAAGAATGGCTCAATGTAATCACTCGTAAAATGTGTAAATGTTAACATAAGCTAACGATTTATTAGAAACTTTTTTTAAAGATGCAGATTAATGGATAATTAACCAATTAGCTACTCATATATTCACACTGCCACTAAAGTCTGTGACTTCCAGTAATGAGAGAAAGTATCTTCAGTATTCAGGCAGTGGTTTCTAGTAGTACTGGAAGCCGAAGCATCTAGAGGAATACTTGTGTATCTTTGCATACAAGTTTGCCTGTAGTTGTAGGATACATTTTTCAATGAGGAAATTTTAGATCAAAAAGAACGTGTATTACATTTTTACAAGTGCCAAAGTACCGCCCCAAATGATTGGTCCCACAAGTTACGAGCTAGGGTATCTTCATTCTGCGCCTCTACCTTCTGACGCCTGCCTATTTGATAGGGTTAAAGAGGCTACTCTATTTTCTTTTCATTTTCATTTTTGTTAGAAATAGCACGTTCGTGTACTTTTGTCCATTTTCTTATTACCTACCATCTTTTTCTTCTTGATTTATAAGTGGTTTTAAATTTCAAAATCAGGGGCACCTGGGTGGCTCAGTCGGCTTAAGCATCTGACTCTTGATTTGGGTTCAGATCATAATTTCCCAATTTGTGCCATCAAGCCCTGCGTCGGGCTCTGCACAGAGAGGAGCCTGCTTGGGATTCTCTCTCTCCCTCTCTCTCTGTACTCCCCCAGCCCCCACGTGCGTGCACTCTAAGTAAATAAACTTTAGAAAAAATAAATGAATTTTGAAGTCAGTTATTAAGACTGGTCATTCATTTGCAACTATTTCCCCACATTTCTGGTTTCTTTTGACATAGCTTGCAAGGTAACATTAATTCTTTAAATCAGACATTACTTTTTTAGAGCAGTAGGTTCACAGCAAAAGTGAGTACAATGAAGTACAAAGAACTCCCATATACCCATGTACACACACACGGACAAACTCCTCTGCAACGGGCACCTCGCACAATGGCTCATTCGTTGCTATCAAAGAAACGACGCCCACACACCGTTATCACCCAAAGCCTACAGTTTACACTAGGGTTTCATTGTTGGAGTTGTACATCCTATGGGTTTTAACAAGAATATAACATATATTCACCATGTAATAATCTAAAAAAAAAAATCCCCTGTGCTCTGTCTATTCATCTCTTCTTCCCCACGAGCCCCTTAGATATCACATATCTTTTTCTTGTCTCTACAATTCTCCCTTTTCCAGAACGTCATGGAGTTGCAATCATAAAGTATGTAGCCTTTACACTTTGGATTCTTTCACTTGCATTGCGAATTTAAGGTTCCTCTACGTCTTTTCATGACTTGGTAGCCCATTACTTTTTAGTGCTGTGTAATACTCCTTTCTCTGGATGTACCACAGTCTGTTTATCCATTCACCTACTGAAGAACCTCTTAGTTATTTCCAAGTTCTGGCAATTGTGAATAAAGCTGCTATACACATCCATATGCATGTTTCTGTGGGTCCATACATTTTGAACTCTTTTGGGAAACACCATGGAGCGGGACTGCTGGATCATAAGGTAAGAGTATGTTTAGCTTTGTAAGAAGCTGCCACAGTGTGTCTTCCAAAGGGGTTGTCCCATTTTGCATTCCCACCAGCCGTGCATGAGAGTTCCTGGTGCTCCACACTGTCACCAGCGTTTGGCGTCACCAGTGTCTGGATTCTGGCCATTCCCATAGGTGTGTGGTAGTAACATTTTAAATTTTATTTATTTAAACTTGTCGATATTGTCTCTGATGGTTTTAAACCTTGTGTATTTCTCGTTCAGATTATTTAGGAAATTCCTCAGTGTCATGTACTAAAACTTAGAGGGTTTCATCTTTAACATTTAAGTGTTTGCTCCAAATGGAATTCATTTGGTATGAGATGAATTACATGTTCAGGGTTATCTTGCAATTTCTTTTGAGGAGTATTAGTTTGGATTTCTTTAGCAAAATTAATGGCTGAAGATATATTAGTAAGTTCAAGTGTATTAGTCAACCACAAATGAACAGATCTCAAATGAAAACAAAAATAGAATTAATCTTTCAAAAGGCATATACAAAAGGACAGTTAAAGGTCTTAAGGCCATTTCACCTGAATGTATTTGCTTTTATATTACAGTGGAAACCCTGAATAACTAAAATTATCTACTCTTCTGTTTTTATACCACACCTGCTGAAAAGCAAGCTTTAAAAGGACCTAATTTACTGAATACAAACCAATCACTTTCACAAACCTTTCAGGAAACTGGGAATCATGTCGGGGTAACTCCTTCAACCTTAGCTCTACACCTCATTACCAAGCAAGTCGTACCTCAGCCATTAATCTCATTTCTCCCTATGTCATGAAACCAGCCCAGAGAAGTCTAGTGCAGCAGTCAAGAATGAGGTGTCTAGAATCTGACATCCTAGGTGCGTATTTCTCTCACTTTTTAGCTCTTTTTCTATGACGTTCACTGCAATGTTGTTTTATTTTTATTCTTTGTAAACACGGAACCTTTTAAAATTAAGAGAATAATTATTGCTGGATGATGTAAATTACATGGAATGTCTGTATTTTCTTTTTTTAACCTATCTTTAATTTTTTATAATGAACACCCACTTGCAGAATTCAAAATGTTGCAGCATAAGTTCATCTGTAAAATATTCTCCTGTATTTGACACAAAATGGTAGAGACACTAGATAAGGCAAAAAAAGAAAAAAGACCCTTGTAATATGTCAATTCCAGCTCAAAAATGTGCTTCTTTATTATGTTATATGCATTTTCAAGTTTTCAATGAGAATGAATTCTGTTTATGATGAGAATAAAGGTGCTTTTCTTTTGTTTTATTAATAACTTCTACAGGGTTTCCCTTATAATTAGAATGTAGAAGATGGAGAAAAACCCTGGATCCTAAATTAACCAGGAGAAAATACTGGAAACACACAAAAAATTATATTTTTCTTTAGAGCTACCAAAAAGCTGGAGATCTATTTATGAAGCCTAAGTGAACTAGTTTACAGAGGCGGATGAAGTCTTCCTATGTAAGCAGAGAGTAGGAACCATTTTCATCACTGAGAGCATCCGCCAAGTCGGGACACACACACACACACACACACACACACACACACACACAGGACTGGGCTTGCCAAAGGAAAAACCCAGTAACATTTTAATGGCCACGCACAGGCAAATGGAATCTGAAAGACCAAGCACGGATGTAGTCCTCTTCGCCAGTCAGTGTTAACCCACAGGTCTTTAGCTGAGGACAGGGTAGCAGGGGGAGTTGTGGGCGGGGCTGGAAAGCAGTGAGAGGTCCTGCAGTCTTGCCACACTCCTATCTGAAAACCTGCCGAGGGAGGAGGCTGCCCCTACTTTCAAGCCTGTGGTGATCTGATTTGATTAAAACATTAAATCATCATGCATCCAACTCAACTCCTAATCGTGTGGAAGAGATCAGCTCCTCAACTTAGCAACCAGAGAGAGAAAAGGGGAATGCTTTCCAAGGGAGAATGTGATCTACGGGACTCTCTAGTATTATTTCAGCATCCAATTAAAAGAACACATGAGACATACAAGGTAGCAGGAAAGACTGACCCTTAATGAAAAGATAAAAAACAACAGAAGCAGACCTACATGTGAAGCAGATACTGGAATTACCAGATCAAGACTTTAAACTGGAAACTGTAAAACTGAAAAATAGATGATCTGAAATGAATTCACTGAATTGGCTTAACAGCAGACCAAAAGTTAGACCCTCTTATACACCACTTGACTCCCAACAAAGGTGCCAAGGTGAATCAATAGGAGAAAGAAATGTCTCTTCAACAAATGGCACCAGAATGACTGGACAAGTGTCCAGGGAAATGGAAGGGTGGGCAGAGATGGTAAATATGTAGGTAAACACAAAAAGTTACTTTTTAACCCTTTAAAGAAACCACCACCTCAAAGTCTAAAGCAAAAATAACACCCTTCGGGGATTATACACACGTGTAAGTAAAATAAAGGACGACAGAAGCACAAATAACAGAGGTAGGTGAATGGAATTAGTGTTGTAAAATGCTTACCCTGCACAGGAAGCTGTAAAATATTACAACTTAACAATCTAAGGAGAAGGTGACCCAACTGGCACTGTAATCACTAGAACACTGAGAGAATACTACTAAGTGCTACTGTTAACAAGTCAAGAGAGTGAATAGAATGGATTCAAACATAAATATATTTGATGAATTTGCAAGAAGGCAGGCAAGTTATAAACAGAGGAACAAAAAACAGATGGGACAAATCGAAAAGAAACAGCAAACTGGTAACCCAAACCCAATGATAGTACTAATTACATGAAATAAAAAGAGAGTAAATATTCCAATTAAAAGACGAAGACTGACAGAGTAGGACATACAATGCTGTCCACAAGGGACACATTTTAAACACAACGATACAAACAAACTCAAAGGATGAAAAATCTACCATACAACCAATGAAATAAATAAGAAATGGTGATGTTAACAGGAGACACATTTTATAATGAGGGTGAAATTCATCAGAAGGACATAATTTTAAATGTGCACCTGTCAATGACTGAGACTCAAAATACATGAAGCAAAAACTGACAGGCCTACGGGAAGAGAAGGGCAAATCCAATATCTGAGTTGGAGACATTAACGCTCCTCTCCATTACTGACAGTACAAGTAGAGAAAAATGAGAGGGGATTAGGAAGATCTAAACACCACCACTGAGCATGCCCGAAATGACGCAGAGAACATCACATGTGCAGAACAGACCTTCTTTTCAATTATACATGAAACTCTTACCTCTACAAATAAGCCACGCTGTGGCATAAAACAATTTTAGTAAATTTCCAAAGACTGAAATCGTGCATGTTCTTTTGGGCCGTAATAGAATTAAGTTAGAAATCTAGGAAGTATCTAGAAAACTCCCACAATTGTAAAAAACCAGAGTTTAAAGAGAGTTCAATTTTGCTCTAAATTGGGGTCATGCGTCAGTCAGAACTCACTACAGTGCTGAGAGAGGAGTAGATAGCGGGTAGAAGCCTGGTGGTTGAACCAACTTTTAACACCTCATGAGTCAAGTATGTACACTGTCATTACGAGAAATAACTTACATGTATCATTTGCAAAAAGTACCATCTCCCCACTCTAACGGAATTAGAAATATTAGCCTCGGTTCAAAGCGAGACCCCGAAACACTGAATCCGTTGTAATTGATTTCACTTCTTCTCTCCTTCTCAAACTGGACCTTTATCATAACCAACGATTATCTGCACCTCATCGCTCCTCCCCTGTGTCAGCCCTATGATCAAATAGGGACTCATGCACTCACTGGAATCCTTGTGACCTTCTGTGTCTGGCTTCTTTCACTTAATATAACGCTTCCAAGGTTCATCTTCGTTGTATCATGGATCAGTACATCATTCTTTTATACGGTTGAATAATATTTCACCATACAGACACACCTCATTTAATTTATCCATTCATCATTTGATGGACAATTGGGCGGCCTCCACTTTTGCACTACTATGCGTAATACCTAAGTGAACATTTGTGCGCAAGTTTAGTGTGGATGTGTTTTCAATTTTCTTGGGTATATACCTAGGAGTGAAATTGCTGGGTCATATTGTTATTCTACATTTAACTTTTTAAAGAACAACAAACTTTTCCAAAGCAACCAAACCACTTTACATTCCCACCAGCAACAAATGAAGACTCCCGACTTGTCCGAATCCTCACCAACACTTGTTATCGTCTCTTTCTGATTTAGCCAATGTAATGGTGTGAAGTGGGATGGTACCGTGCTGTTGATTTGCATGTCCCTGATGACTAATGATGTTGAGCATCTTTTCCTGGCATTCACTTTTCAATGTCACAGTGGCAGTTGTCCATCATGGGGCAAAAAGGAACACGACCGGTTCAAGAATACAGATCTTTGGCATACAGGCGTGACAGGAAGATGTATTTGGAAAGCCAAATAACGTGTGCAGTAAGACAGTGTGCATTAAGATGCACTGTTATTTCCAGTGGTCATTAGATTATCTACATTTCTTGGTTATCTACTACTCTGAACAGTTACAAGTATGATCTGCTACAGGAGAAGCTTCTTCATCTGGGAGTCTAAATAATGGAAAGATGTGAACAACAGAATCATTGTGAAAGCCAGTCCCCAGCCCCCCACTCCCGTCAATGCTAATTCATGTAAAAATAACTTAGATTATCATAACTACAGAATGCTTTAGTATAAACTGTGTAGAAAAACTGATGGTGTAATTTGACAGGCTGTGATACTAAAGTATCCAATCCTTAAGACTGCAGACAGGGAGAAACAGAGGAAATCAGACAATTACCATCTCACCACAACTACCTCACTGGCAACCTAATTAGTTCTGATGGATTATACATTTTATTGCAGAAGAACTGTTTTAAGGCTTTGACATGTAATATTTATTACATGCTGAAACTTTTTCTCCACTGCATCTGGAGCGGAGAGCTAAAAATTAAGAATTAACTGAATCTGGTCAGGTACAAGGTGTTTTGTGTAAACAACCTACTATCATTCAGAACTCACTATTAAGTTAAAGGAGCACCATGGGGCACCTGGGTGGCTCAGTCGGGTAAGTGTCCAACTTCAGCTCAGGTCACAGTCTCACAGTTCACGAGTTTGAGCCCCACTTCCGGCTCTGTGCTGACAGCTCAGACCTTGGAGCCCGCTTCGGATTCTGTCTCCCTCGCTCTGCCCCTCCCCCACTCCTGCTCGCTCGCTCTCAAAAATAAACATTTTAAAAACTTAAAAAAAAAAATGGAGTACTGAAAAGCTGATCCTCATCCCCCATCTGCAAATTCCTCAGAAAATCTGTTACTGGGTTCATTATGGTTTTTCATCACAAACACGTTTTTTCATCGGGTAACTAAAACTTTAAACAGAAGTACAGAATACTTAAAAAGAAAAGTATTTGAGGGTTTCTAAATTTTCATTCAATCTAAGGAGAGAAACCGGTAACAATTATTCTGCACAGCAGCATGTGTTAATTTTTCATTGACAAGAGGGCCCTCCCTTCAATGGTTCAAATATGATTGTATCAATATAGAAGGTTCTTTTTTTGATGCATATCCCCACTTCTCTAAATTTAAGAGTTATAAGTAAGGGGCACCTGGGTGGCTCAGTTGGTGAAGCATCCAACTTCGGCTCAGGTTGGGATCTCACTATTCATGAGTTCAAGCCCCTCATCGGGCTCTGTGCTGATGGCTCAGAGCCTGAAGCTTGCTTCAAATTCTGTGTCTCCCTTTTTCTCTGCCCCTGCCCCACCTGTGCTCTGTTTCTCTCTCAAAAGTAAACATTAAAAAAAAAAAAAAGAGCTGTAAATAATTCTTGTGGATTCCAAACAGGACAAAAACACATTATCTCATTGTTGAGGAATTTTGAAAGGTAAGTTTTACCTGTATCCATACTTTGGTTCAACTGTTGATCACTCGTTTCTCCATCCTCACTGATATATCCAGGAGGTGGCGTTTCTACAAAAGTTCAGAACAAATCAAGCACAGTTGCAATTTCATCTCACCACCTTTGTCCTACTACCAAAGATAACTAAAGAATCAGTCTGAATATAACATTATTATAAAAAGCAATATTTGGGACTAAGGGCTTAAAATTCAGGTTTTGATCCAAATCTTATAGGTGAATCCTTAAAGCCTACTTGTAATATGATCAAGCTCTCTAGGCATATTTTCTTAGCTATTATTTACATATCTGGCTCATTCCCATATGTATATTTTCTGGGGCAAGAGCCAAAAATAGAACTTCAAAGATTCCTCAGTACTGAATCAGTATGCTTCAAAGACATTAGTACCTACAATTTTTTTTTTTTAAACTAATGGCCATCATCGATGGGTTACACCTAAGAGGTGATTAAAGGACACACCACACGTATGAAATTTCAGATTACAAAGTACTACAGGCTCACATTAGGTTCTATGGGTAAAACAGGGTAATATGGTTCAGGCCTGGTCTCGCTTGAGTTTCACCTACAAAGTATACTTCTCCAGGGATTTCTAACCAGTAAATCCTGAGTGTTTGAAGCAGAAATTTAAATCCAAACAGACTACTGCACAAACCTGAGGTAAAATACTCCCTGAAGGTAAGAAAAGTAAGATTCTAATGTGCCATTTCCAAGATGCTTTATGAACAAGATGTTTACATTCAGGAGGCATCTGAATAGCTGAATAGGCTTCGTGTAAGATAAATACATTTCTATAATTTTGCCAACTATAATTTCAAGGAGGAAAACTAAGTTTAAGGGATTATCAACAGTTTAACATTTAGATGGCTGGATAGTTTTAAGCAATTCAAGATAATGTAATTATCAAAAGGGAGAGGGAGAAAATGTGGGTTAAAGGGCTTCTTTGTTTAACCCTTTACACTCTCCCTTCAACACGCTAACTGCAAATCTGAAGTTTCAAACTCTTCATTAAGTGTCAATACCTTAAAAGTGTTACTGATGAAATTCTCAGAATAAAATACCTTCAAATGCTCAAGCAATAAAGAACACAAAAATAAGACTAATGCACATCAATATGCACTACCTTAAAGGTTAAAGCTAATAAAATTAAACAGAGCTACGCTTTGCCAGTTTAACCATCCATGTCTCAAAGGTCTAAACAGGAAGAAATACAGAACTTTTAAATACTTTATCCTGTTTTGCTTTTCTCCATTATTATGTATAAAATAATAAATAATAAAGCTATTATCATTTTGGAGAAAATACTAAAATTTCCTTTGAAGTGGAACAAAAAGCGAACCCTTAACTTTCACTGTCAGCTGGAGCTGGGTAAAGCCCCATTGTTCAGAAAGGCAAAACGGTGTGATCCACTTTTGATTTGCTACTTTGTAAAATAAACCAAATCTAAACAAAGAAAGAAAGGAAAATAAACCCAAGCATCTCCACAAGGAAAAACCACTAAGCGTTTTGATTAACAGCCTTCCAAATAATTACCGGGTAGGTGTCTTACAAGACTGTATGCTTACGTCTCGGTTTCCTAGTATTGTTGAATAATACAAATTCCCACATCAAAGACTTAAAATGTGCCCCCCACACCACACACAACCATGTCCGGCCAAGTCTTCCCTGGCGAGTGACCTGTTTCAGTCCTGCCCTCCCCTGCTGGTCCTCGCATTCCACCAGGCTCTAGGCCCTGCCCTCTTAACTTCTCAAAAAGTGTGTTTCCTAGCAACCTAAAAAGCAGTCTTAAGCCCTCTTTTGGAACAAAATAATTGTAAAAAAAAAAAATTACGCACATTAAAACAATCAGGAAACACTTTCTACCTTAAATTTAGCTATTTTAAAAAATCCTTTTTATGTCTTTAAATTGTCAACGAACAAGCATTTCTTCCATGAGACATATTAAAGAGATCTTTTTTTAAATGTACTGGAAACTAACTTCCTTATGTATTTTCTGTTGTATACTGAAAATAAGAGTGGAATGGAGACGCTGTTACAAAAGGAGAAGAAAAATGAGACACTAAAATATCCAACGGATAGCTTCATCCCCATTTGAATATGGTACCTTTAATTTCTGCTGGGGGGGGGGAACCCCAAAAAACAAAAAAGGGAAACACAAAGTAAGAAAGTAAGAAAATATTAGTTGTTCTCCTAAAAGAACAGTGAAAACTAAAAGTGCGCTGTGGTGTATTACTAGGTCACGTACTACAATAATCTGAGCAGGATTTGAGAACCATGTAGTTAAATTCATTCACTTCCCAGCAGAGGTGACTGGGGCCCAGATGAAAAAGAACCGAATTAGAGGATTTATGATTTTCAGTACAGCAGTGCTGCTACATCTGTAGGAACTCAAAATATTTTATCTTCTATAGGCATAGTACATTTCTCTTTAACATTATCGAGCTATCTATGAAAATGATTATTTGGGTGGTTTTTAGTTACACTTGCTTCAAGAATACCTTTTTCCTGAACAAGTTATTTTGCTTACATTCTGCATCTCTCTTAGCTTCAACAACTAAGACAAACTTACTAAGATCTTTTCTTTTCTGCTTCTCACAGTACTTTGATTAAAGCCACTGCAAAAGAAAATGAAATATAAAGTAAAACTTTTCTCCAGACAAAAGTGTTTAAAGTACGAGGCTTATACATTTCACAAAATAATCAACCAACAAAGCAGATTTTCCTATTCAAAATCCAGAAGCATTTTTTTTTTTTAAGTCAAATCACAATTTACTAGTATGTGAATGTTTATGAACAAAATCTGTTTATCCCAATTTTCAGGAGATTCAGAAGGTGAAAATACCTGGGATGTAATTACTCTGTGGCTCAATTCCCGCTGGGAAATTAGTGTTTTCTGGAATGGAGTGGGTGTAATCATCCAGGGGAGGCAGTTCGGTCAGGATCTCGGTGTGCCGTGGCACCAATACCGGAGGCAAAACTGAAAGAGTAAAAGGAACCCAGGTTAATGGCAAAGAGCACAGGATGGGCACCAGGTAAGGGGGACAGACCAGACCTTTATTAAAAAAATTCACACACACAAAAAAGGAAGTAGCCTGCTTCATTTTTAAAATTTAGGGTCCATCCATTTGGCCTTATATCAGTTCCTAAGAAATTGACAAATCTGATTGGTCTTAATTTGCCATGGAGTCCAGAATCTAAATTTCCAAGTTTCAATTTATCCTGTACTTTGAGGAACAAGGACATTCTGGTAATACTATAATGTTACCGTAAGAGTTCATATATCCCCATTGGAAAAGCTGCAGGAAGATCTGTGAAGTCGGATTTAGGCCATTTCTAGAAACATAGCTGTACTGAAATTGAAAATTTAAAAACTTTCAAGTATGCAGCTAACTAAGTAAACTAAAAGTCTTGCTGTGGATTTCACAATCTGCTTAGATACAGATGATACCATTAAAGTGCTTCAAAGAAAATACTAAAGAATAAAATGACTGAAAACAGCTCAGGCAGCAGACAGGTACAGAGGTGTATCAGTTTAGTTCCAACCAGACTGTGAATCCGGAGATTAGAACTTCCTGAATAGGGGCTCCTGGGTGGCTCAGTCGGTTAAGCATCAGACTTCAGCTCAGGTCATGATCTCACAGTTCGTGGGTTCAAGGCCTGCGTCAGGCTCTGTGCTGACAGCTCAGAGCCTGGAGCCTGCTTCAGATTCTGTGTCTCCCTCTCTCTCTCTGCCCCTCCCTCCCTCATAATCCCATGCACGCGCACTCTCTCTCTCTCAAAAAAAAATAAACATTACAAAAAAAAAAGAATTTTCTGGATATGTAATTTTGAAGTCAAATAGTATGCTATCCCAAGAAACTGACATCTCTTATCCTCTCAAGTTTATTTTCCCATATTTAAAACGTTTTAAAAGTAGTTTTAATTATTACCAAATAATACACTAAATTTCAGGTAATTTATTGCAATTTTACACCAAGATTTCCCAGGGGCAATTACATAGCAGTGCCTCATTTACTTAAGTTCAAGCATTTAATTTAAAACAAGGAAACAAATCTAATTTTTCTACCTGGTGTTTCAACTCTCTGGTAGTGGTAAGGGTTTACACATACTTCATCCTTTTTAAGATTGAAAGCATATTCGCAGTTTTCAATGGCTTTGAGTTCATGGTGACTGTGAAGGTCAGGCCAACGCCACAATCGGCAATATATCACATGTGGCAGTCCTTTTCGATGAGACACTTGCAGACGGCCATCCAGAGACCTGTAGAGAAGCAAGGGGAAAGAAACGTGGGAACTTTAAAAAAAAAAAAACAGGCGCAGCTGACTGGGCTAAATTAATACAGTACGAGCATAAAGAAAGGAATGACAGACATTTAGTTAGTTTTAGTGAGTACAAGGAAGAAAAATGTACTATTTAATGGGTCGGATATAAAAGCAAGCAGCACCGCGCTACAGATGTTTCTCATAAATAGGCTACGTAAATGACTCAGATGTCAATGAATGGCTAACCACTTGGGAAGAAATTGAGTTTTTTAAAAAAAGGATCATAGAGTCTGCTCGAAAAACTTTTTGTCAACTTCTATCTTGAGTAAATCAAACTCTTATTTAGGGATGCTTTGAAGGGCATTGATACTGTAGGTGACTGAGTTATCAAAAAAAAGGAACTAGTGTGAGGAATGGGAAGTACCAACAATGATGTAAAGTAACTTACTCAATCTAATGTAACTCATTACCCAGTTGTGACTGTTTTGAGGACCGAGGTATATTCCTACAGCTCACACATAAATGCAGATGGTGATGAGTATGATGAGATGAAATGGACATATACCAAAATGCTCAAAAAGAGAATAAGGTGACTTTAAAAAAAAGAGAACATAAAAATGAGTTAGCCTAGCGTGAATTGTGATCGGAGGGGCTTGGTAAATAACTACGTACTTATTAGTATAAAGAAGATGAGTTTAGATGATAGCAAGAAATTTAGCAAAAACTGGTTAGGTATCTACTTGAAAATTAGGCCAACAACAGATTATAATCTAGTCTCAAAATCAAATGAGAATAGAGTTATTATCGAAGTTCCTATTCTTTAGGGGATGCAGTAATTTAAAGAAGATTCAAAAGTAGAATTTCATTGATCAAAACAGCAGCGGACACATTTAATATATCATTAATACTGGCAAGCAGGTATTTTAAATGCCATGCCTTATTTACATTAAGGAAACATCCTAGGCAAAATGATACTGAGCAACCCCTTACAGGTCTTCCAAAACAGCCCCCCCGCCCCAAGATTGCTAGGATTCCATAGAGGGCAGAATATTCACCTGGTTTGTTCAGAGAAGCTGTAAAGGCCTGCTGTATCCCACTGATCTATCGTATTTGGTGTACTCAGTCCCCAAATTTCAGAGCAAGTGCTGTGCATAAATTGAAAAACAAAAAATTGATGTGAACATGGAAGCATGGTTATTCAAAATACCATGATGTAAAACATGGAAAATGTACAGAATACTTCCTTCACCCAGAAAATATATATACATTGCTTCACTTTGTCACGGGCTTTTAGTGCTGGTTTCTATATTTTCTATATGAAGGAAGCCAATAAAATGGAACATGTGACTCCAGATAAGTTATGATTATGTTTTAAAAATGTGAACACCAATGCTCTCTAGCTTAATGAAATCATACCTATAATGCCCCTTCCAATTTCCACTGCTCACAGCAAAAGACCTAATACCTATGCCACCAGCCTTTATAATCTAGTTTAAAAACTTAGCCAAAAATGGATGTCGACTGGTCTTTTTAATACAGGAAAAAATTTCACTTAAATCAGATACATACCCAAAGTTAATATTTTCACATTATTTGTTTGAGAAACTCACACGTTCAGTTCTACTGGAAGTTATTACTGCTCTCTTATTGCTATGATGGAGAAGGAAGTGCATTTTGAAGTCACTCTAACAGAGCGTAACCACCTTAAAAGTTCTGAGAAACTGCTGTGAGGATATGTCAAAGTACCAAATTCTAAAATGGCAGGATGAATATAAAAGATGTGCTGTGTCTCGTTTTCAAAAATCAATGCACCTGAAAGACACAGACCAGAAAGGTCTCAAACTTTTTCTTCCACATCTCCTTCCAGAACATCGGCATGCCCAGAGATAACTCTATTTTCCCTGCCACAATTTCAAAGTAACTTCTTATCTGTGGGAGGAGGGAAGGAGACCTTCAAAGGCAGTCTGGAATGGGAACTTGTGCCTGTCAACGTGTCTCAGGTCAGAAGCTGTACTTAACAATCAGAGTCTAAAGGTAATTTCTGAAACAAACTCAAACTCCATTTCTCTCATATTACAAAATCATCAAAATTTCAAAGAGGAGGAAGAATCGTTTCAAAACAATATTTGAAAATAAAATCAAACAACTGATTAAACTCCAGGTGCACACACTGCTAAAGAGCTAACTGAATCAACATTTCAAAGGACAATGGTGAGAAGTAACGTCTTCCTGTGGCCCGAAAACACACATCCCGGCTGCTGGGCTGCAGATCCCGGCTGCTGGGCTCCGGGGCTCCAGGGCCTCTCCCAGGGCCTCCAGACACTTTTCAGGCCATGCCTTGGGGGCCACAGCAACTATACTGGTTTTACAAATGCATTTTTTGATACTCCCCAGCACCCTTTTAAGATACTTAACAGATTCTCTCGCTTTTCAGGCTTCAGAAATCGATCTTTCATTTTCCAAAAGACAAAAGTCAGAAAAAGCCAAGAAACTGGAAAATAATTTAATCTTTTTCCCCCAAAGACGTACGGACTATAAATAAAACCCATGACCACACATGGTTCTTCTAAGATATTTATCAAGTGTCTACTGAGAACATATAGCACCATGTAGCTTAAATCACGAACAAAATCACCTACATTCTAGAGTGTTACGAATCTGACTTTAAATCTCAGAAGGAAAGGTATACAGCTTACTCTTCAGCCTTTGAAAATAATCCAAGGAAAATTATTAACAAGAGATTAGATTCAGAGGCAACTCTGCTCCTATGAGAGAATGAAGATTTCACTAAAGTAATTCTGACACTGACACAGAACCAGAATCTAAAAGAGAGAAAAGCTTAAGTTGTGCTTTTATTCAAGCCTTGAAATAAATCAGAAAATAATCAACATTATGTTCAGAACACGCAATCAATCAACAGGCAGGCCAACCTAGATCCCAAGCCTAACTCTGCCACTTTCCAACTTGCATATTAAGGTATATTTAAGCCTCAGTTCTACTGTTTATGGTAACATCTCTCTCCACAATTGGAAGGTTTACTTAAAAATAATAAATCTCCTTCTAGCTAGCAAAATTTTTGCTTGTTTATGTAAGAAAAAGTATTTTTTAAAAGCATCAATTTATAACAAAACACAAGAGCACCTGGAATAAACGTAAGTACAAATGTGGCAAAACTATACAAAGAAACATTTTCATTATTACTGAAGAACACAAAGGAAACTAAGCAAAGAGAAAAACGCGTATCTCCTATTCAGGAAGACAACATCATAGTGACATCAATTCTGCCGAATTTATTATTTGATACAATCTCACTAAAAAGCTCAGACAAAATTACTCCAAATATAACATACCAAAATAAGTAAGAATGATCAGGAAACCTTTAACCAAGAAAAGTAGAGAACTCTGAAACACAATATAAATTCTCAATGGAAACTGTACACAATTAGCAAAAGAGTACACGAATAAAACAAAATAGAGGTTCTGTCTGTAGAGTAGCCTTAATTAGGCAAACCCTCCTTCAGACAATAATGACAGCCTCTGAACAAAATATAATAAAATCAACCATTTGAAAATGGTAGAGAGGGACCAAAAGGACAACATCAAAGGGAAGTCAAACCTTTGCGAGAGGGGAAAGTGAATGAGATGCATTTATGTGGCCCTGTATCCAAGGATAGCCCCACAGTCTAAGCTAGGCAGGGCAACTAGACCTTAAGCAGAAAACAACAGTTTTACTGACTTGCACAAATAATCAGAGAATGGATCTGGGGCTGCCAGACAGGCTGAAAAAAGAAGAGGAAAAATCCTATAAAGAAGGAGTCATGCGGGGGAGGGGGGGATCAAAATATGAATGTGAACTCTGCCCAAATCCTCGACTGATTTGTCAACTATTTACACGGGGGAGACTATGTGGCCTGCCGAAAACCTGCATTTGGAAGTCCGGAAACACCAAGTACTAAAATCTCAACTGCTGCTTTTACATCAGAGGCAGACAGTCTGGAATATGAGGCAGACCAAAACTATCTGCTAGAACAAAAATCAAAACTCTTCAGAGGAAGATAACAAAATTCAGTCTCTACAGTATTTCATCCCAAATATCCAGTATAAAAAGCACAAATTACTAAACATATGAAGAAATAGGAAAATGTTACCCCTAGTCAAGAGAAAGAATAGCCAATAGAAATAGATCCTCAAAATCCTAAAAGACCAGGATTTTAAAGTAACTACTGTGAACATGTTCACAGACTTAATGAACAGACAGGAATCTCGCTTGGTGATGAAAACTATCAAAAATGAATCAAAAGGCAACTCTAGAACGGAAAACTACAAAATCAAAAATAAAAAATGAACCTGATGGTTGGAGAAGACACAACAGTCAATTTGAAGATGAGTCAATAGAAATTGTCAAAGCAGAAGAACCAAAATAAAATAGACTGAATAACAAAAAGGATAGTCTCAATAACATGTGCAGTTCTGAGAGGAAACAAGAAAAACCGGAAAAAAATACCTGAAATGATAATGCCTAAAACATCTTCAACTTCAGTGAAAAATTAAACTGATACTTCTAAGAAATTCAGTGAATAACAAGCAGTTTAACTACAAAGAAAATCACACTTGGGCACATCACTGTCAAAATACTTAAAAGATAAAAAGAAAATCTTCAAAATGGTAAGAATTACAAAACTCTTGGCACAAGGACTCCATCTAAACTCCTGCACTAAGACACTTAACTAAGCTCTAGCAAGTCCCTCATAGGACCCAGACCCTTTTGAGCTCCTGTTTGGAAAAGGTCAAGGCGGCCAAAAGAAGTTACCATTTGTTCCAACCAACACTTGTCCATAGGCCCCTGACTTCCTTTCCTTAGAGCATTTATTTTAAAAACTTGCACTTGTCAATCCTTTTCCTGTCTCTTTGAGATGTATTATGTGTCTCCTACAACTCAGGAGTGTCTTTCTCAAGGACCTGAAATCCATTCCTTTGAAATGTAATCAGTCACCAGAAAGGACAAGGCCTCTGTATCCCAGGCTACCCTCAGAGAGAGGGTAGAAGCCTAACTTGAGAAATGCCATTTAGCAGACACAGACGGCCACACTGACACTGACCAACCAACCCACTAACCCATTTTTTTTTTTTTTTTTGGTAACTTTTCAGTTCCCTAACTCCGTTCAAGCCTCTATTCATTCCCGCTGCCTACTCTCCTATTCTCCCAGTCACCTCTGTGCAAATCAAAACTGAGCTCAGCTCTTCTCCTACTATTGTGATTACTGAATAAAATCTGTTTTTACCACCTTGAAACAGTATCTGGCTTTAACTCTGACAGCAGCTGGAGTAGAACAATCCACATACACAGAGCCATGAGCACATGAGTAACAATTTCTCATCAGAAACAGAAGCCAAAAGACAATGGGACATCTTTAAAGAGCTGAACGGAAAAACAAACTCAACCTAAAATCTATACCCCACAAAAATATTCTTCATATAGTAAGCCAAAACAAAAATATGTTCAGGTAAACAAAAATTGAGAACTCATTTGTAGCAGACTTTGCCCAAAGAAATGCTAAAGGAAAGTTCTTCAGGATAAAGAGAAACAGCAACAGATGAAAACTCTCAATCACTGAGAAAAATTAAGAGAACGAGAAAGTATTAAGTATGCAGGAAAATGTAATAGACGATTATTTTTCTCTTAATTTCTACAAAAAGGAGATGACTGGTTACAGCAAAAATTGTAACTCTAAAAGTATGTGGATGCAATTTGTAGGACAACAGCAACAGAAACAAAAGGACGTGTTAAAAACAGCTATACTGTCACAAAGCTAAGGATTCATACTGTCATTGGGAAAGCAACCCTTTCCCCTGAAAAGGGGAAGAGACAGAGAAAAAATGCATATAGAAAATTAAAATGAAACACTAAAAATAATTAACCTCAAAGGAAGGAAGGAAGAAAAGACGACCAGATGATAATAGAAAACAAAGAATAAAGTGTAATGGGTAAAAGGGTAAATCCAACCACATCAGTAACAATACATAAATACACCACATATTCCAATAAGCAGCAGACACTTGTCAGAATGAATACAAGATATAAAATATCTACAAAAAAGATGTATACCGATAAGCTGAAAATATCAGAATGGAAATACACAATTCA